GCAAGGGTAAACCAAGGCTGGGCTTCCCATGAGAAGTCACACAAGAAGGGAAGCGATATTTAAAGCATCAAAAGAAACCCACCAACAGGGGTGGAGAGATGTTCAGAACAGCATTGGCTGTTCTTGAAGGAGACCTGAGTTCAAATCCCAGCACCCACATGGTGGCTAATAACCATCCATAACTCCAGTTCCAGGGGATCCAACACCCTTTTCTGACCCCCTCAGGTACTGCACGACACAAGTGCACTTACATACATGCAGGGAATACACAAATGTACATAAAAAAGGAAGAAAAAAGAAACCTACCAACTGAAAACTCTTTGCCATTAATATTATCCTTCCAAAGTGACAGAGAAATAAAGATTTTTTTTCAGATAAGTAGAATCCTTCTTACAACCATGGGTAATTCAGAGGAGCTTCCTGCAACTGCCTTTTCCACAGGGACCCTTGCCTGCCCATCACTTTGCCAGCTGAGTCGCAGGCAGAACAAGGGTGCAGGCAGCAGTAGAGGGTGCCGAGGGCCTCCAGGTGGCAAGAACATGAGGCAGGTTCTTAGCATACCGGGTGGGAAAAAGGTACTTTCCACCCAGGGGAAGAAGGCCTAACAATGTGTCCCCAGGAGGCACTGACAGAGGGGAGAAGTGACCTATGTGGAGCCCTGGAGTTACAAGCAGAGGCTCTGCTGCCTCCAGGACAGGTTCCTGCCTCTTAGGTCTCTGGAAGAGGGAGTCCCCAGTGAAAGACATATGGACTGACAGGGACAATACACACAGCCTTCGGCATAATGACCAGGAGGTGGAAGGAGGAGGCAGGGTTTCAGTGGATGGGTCTACCTCTCAGACCATACTTCCTGGGACCCACCCACCTGTGAAAGATTTGACCAAATGAGAAAAGCCAATCACCCGTGGAAGGTGATTCACCTGGGGAAGGTCCAGCCACCTAAGGAAGGACCAACCACCTGGGTAAGGATGGGGGCCAATCCACCCACATAAGGAAGTTCCACCCACCTGTGGAAAGCCAGTCCACCTGTGCAGTTCACCTACCTGGGGAAAGTCCGGCTCCGCAGCTCCTTGATGAAGAGCTGGCTGCCATTCTGCACTGGCTTCATGTCTGGTGTCTGCCCAGGGCCATGCTTGTGCCAGGTCCGCTTTTTCTTGACTGTGTAGGAGACAGGAGGTAGGTCTGTTCCAAACACAGCCCCCACCCAACCTCAGGGTCCTTACACCCACCTCTGTTAGAAGACCCAGTTGGGCATCATAGGGGGCACAAAGGAAGCTAGGGGAGCCCATGAAAACAGCAAGATTCAAAACCTCACCTGAAGACTCCATCTGCCCACACCAGTACTCCCTCAACCTCATCCCCACCCCTCACAAAGGAGCCCTAGGTCACCTCCTCATGCAGAACCAAGTCTGTTAAGACCTGAAAGGTCCTCAGCCCAAGAGCCCACCATCCCATAGCTGGAAAGTATGTCCTGCCTGGCCTCCATATGAAGACCTGCACCTTCCTGCCAGGACCTGCTCTGTCTGACAGACCCTATCTGATAGCCCTCTTTCCCCACTTCCCCATCAGGGTGCAGGCCCTCCCTTTGACAACATGCTGGTGAAGACCACCTGGGTGTGGGAATGTCAGGTATCCCCAAGCAAGGCCTGGTGCTGTAGCTGTCAGTCACCCATCTAAGCAGCAGAGGGCAGTGCTGGGAACACCTGGGTTCTCACCCCAACCCCACAGGACATGGCAGTGATGGCCTGGGTTAGGGATGGGTTACAGGTGCCATCAGCCAAGTGAGTCTGTATCATCACAGCTATGATTCCGAGTGCTGTGACTTCAGTGCTGTCACTTCTGGTCTCTGTCACATGGGATACCTTCCCAAGCTCCTATCTAGGAGCCCTGGGGCTCCTACGCCAATATTTTGTTGGTCAAATAAACCGATCTCACTGCCTTGACCGAGGCTCATGGACTAAAATCAGCTCAAAGAACATTTTAGGTCAGTGTGGGGTTTAGCCAAACAATCCCACCACTGTGGCTTAAAGAGAAGGCGGTGTGAGAGGGCCTGGCTCCCGCTCCTCCTCTCTGTGCCCATTTCAGGCCCTGACCCAGGCCAAGTTGATAGGGGTAGGAAGGGTAAGGCAGGCTTTGGGCCTCCAGAGGACTCCCTGTACCAATCAAGGGCTGGAGGGTCCTCTTGTCACCAAGGCTCTGGGAATGGAAGGTGTAACTAGAGCCAGAGTATCACAGACAGGTGCTGCTCACAGTGCAGACTTGGCTCAAATCTGAGAACGCATACTGGCAGGAAGGGCTACAACCTGGGACCTGATTTCTAAAGCAGAAAATGTCCTTCACAATAGTGAAGGTCTAATCCCAGTGTTTACACAGTCCTCTGAGTACACACATACACACATGAACATACTTTCAGTGACGGCTTGGCCCCTACATCTATATGCTGAAATTCTCAATCACCAAGGTGATCAGGAGGCAGGGCACCTGAGAGGTGACTAAGTCATGAAACTGAAGTCCTCATAACGGGGTTAGAGACCCCAGAAGGCTCCTCATCCTTTCACTCTGTGAGAAGGTACCATCTATAATCCAATAGCAAGGACCTCACAGACACCAAATCCACCAGTGCCTTGATTTTGGACTTCTCAGTCCTCAAAATGGAGCGAAATGAATTTCCTGATCATTCAAGCCACCCAGCCTGTGGCATTTATTACAGCAGCACAAATGGATTAACAAACACATATGCTTGCACACATCACTCCCAGAGAGCTAGTGGTACCAAATGGGAATTGGAGCTGGCACCTGGGCTCCTGGCTGACTGGGAGACCTCTGCCCAAACCCCACCTAGACCCAGGGGCAGGGCCTGGGTGAGATATGAGTGTACATGCCTCTTGCAGTAGACAGGACAAGCTGTCACAGCTGGGCAAAGTCTGTTTTTGAGGATGCCTGGGGACATCAAAGAAATCAAGCTGTGTTCACCACTGATGTTACTTTCTCAACCCTGAACCACACCATCATTCTACCCTGTGCAGACTCAGGCAAGAACTCCCAGATAACTACCCTGTAAAACATCTGTAAAGACCAGACAAGGCTCCAGCCCAATTTCCAACTCTTTCCTTCCCATCAATCTGGAGTCTCATCTGAAATGATGCCCACATGCACCTGTGTATGAACCATCCAGGGCAGTGAAGTCTCAGCATTCTCTAAAGCACTCTCACCACTCTCCTCCCTGGGAGGAGCAATGTGTGGCCTACCCCCTCCACCGCCCCAAACACACACAAGAACACATCTTCTGGGATGTCTTGTTCCCGACTCTGCTCTGCCCTGACCCAGCCTCCCAGGCCCCATAGTACCACTCCAGATCCTGGTGGAAGCTCTGATATTTGTCTGGTTTCTGATATAAAGATAAGGAAGCCCTGAGCATAACAAGGGACCAGGAGCATGAGAATACTTCTTCCTGTCCTTATTCTACTTTGAAACCATCACCAGAATGACTTAGCTTGCCCCAAGTGGCACACTCTGAACATAAGTGCTGTGTGTCTGAGGAAGTCTGAAAGGTGTTCTTAGGAGTCCTGAACTGGAATCTGGCAGCATAACCGGGTGTTAGAGACATACTAGAGGCAAAGCCGAAACTAGAGCAGCCCCAACATCCCAGCAATGCAAGCAAACTGGCCAGACCCTGGAAGGGGCAAGAGACTGCAGCAAGGGCCCAGGAGAGAGACCCCACCCAGCACCAGCTTCACCAGTAACCAGGTCAGCTTCCAGTATCTCCAGATCCTTCATCAAGCCTTGGTCCCCTGGAGTGTGAGGACCACGCCCCCACTGCCTATGTCCCTTCATTGTAGTGTGCCCCTGCTCTGTTGTCTGTGTATCCCTGATGCCTGAGTCTCCTGTTGCCTGTACCCCCCGCCCCACTGTCTGAGTCCCCGTTGCTCATATCCTCCACTGTCTGAGTTCCTTGTTGCTTATGTCTCTCCACTGCCCAAATTCCTACCCTCCACTTTACCCCCTGCCTACATGCTCTCTCATCTTATCTTGCTATGTCCACAGAACTTGCTCCACAGAACCAGGGAATATGGCCTCTCGGCTTACACTGGGCACTTGGATGAGGTTCTCTTGAAGGGGAGTGATACAGAGTGACTCCCCTAATCCCCAAGTTTAGTCAGCCCAGAACTCAGGCATAGGGTATGAAGAGTGAATCAGCCTGCAGTGTACATGAGTGTTCAAAACATCAGCACAGGCAGGAACCCAGAGCATGGACACACACATGCACAGAGGTCTAGTCCCCATGTCCCTGCAGGCCACAGCATGGCCTGCCACTTGCAACTAAGACTTGGCCTTAGAGCTCAAAGCCTACTTGGATGAACTTGTACAGTATGAGCGGAGCCTACACTTTGGGTATACCCAAGTACCTGCTGCATAGCACGGCCCAGAGATTAAGGATGGGAAGGAGAAGGCTTGGAACACACAGCAGCAGGCATTGTGGGAAAGTCAAGCCCTGGAGACTTTCTATAGGGGTGCTAGGTAGGATAAGCATAACTGCTGGAGGATGGGTAGCAGAGTTACCTTCAGAAGCATGAGCAGAGGGTCTGGGCTACCTAGTGTGGCTATGGCTGGCTGGATAGAGCTGGGCTGAGCTGGGGGCCCTAGAAACCCCTTTATCACCTGAGCCCCCAAGTTCACATCCATGATGTGGGCTGGCTTGCCCACTATAGGATCTTTTTTTGTTTTCTAGTGTATTTTTTTTATATTTTATGTATATGAGTGTTGTGGCTGCATGTATGTAATTATACCTGCGTCATGCAATGGATGTCAGAAGAGGGTGTCAAATCCCCAAGTTAAGGATGGTTGTTAGCTGCCGTGTGGGTGCTGGGAGTCAAATCCCGGTATTCTACAAGAGCACCCAGTGCTCTTAACCACTGAGCCATCTCTCTAGCCCCCAATTATAGGTTCTGAATGTGGTTCTGGTTGGGCCTTGGGGATGGTGGAGTCTGCCCAGAACTCAGGAGGGCAGGAGCTAATCATAAGTTAGCTGGGCTGCAAGAGTCCTCAGCACCAGGGTCGCTAACCTATGACCCAGTAGTTCTCATGAGCAGGAGGCATGTGGGCTAAGGTACTTACGGGTGGACTTGCCATGGGTTTTCTCACAGTTCGGGCAGTGGTAAATGTCGATGTCTGGTGCCTCTTCCTCTTCTACCCCAACACAGCTGAAATAAAAGGAGACAGTTATCCTCATGTTCAGTCTCCCTTGGCACCTTCCACCGCACTCAGGGGAAACTCCTCCTCACCACTGGGGACAGCTCAATGGGACTCTGCAGGACAGTGGTCCTTGAGGAGGGAAAGGAGAAAGGGGCTGTAGAGCTGCCCTCCTCAGACATGAATCTGTAGCCAGATCCATGCACACCTGGAGATGTCCACCCTGAAGACCCATGGCTAGGCCACTCATCCAACAAGCCTACCTCAGTGAAGGCAAGGGGGTATCTAGGAGCCAGTACATCACTCTCTAGTGGCAGCTGGGGATTGGAGCACAGCAAACCTGGGCAGCCTGGAACACCCTGAGGGCCACACCACAACAACCTGCCCCACTTGGCTTCAGAGGGTCAGAGCAGGGTAAGGAAAGGTACCAAGATGCCCTCTTCTTCCCTGGAGTATTCCAAGGCCCTGAAAACCTGCTCAGAAACTTAGCTCAGGAGACAGCTACATGCACTAGCCTGCTCACAGCCTAAAGCCACTTAGGGAATGAGGGCAGTGTCAAAGGATACAACCTACACCATCAACAGGCTCCTAAAGAATCACACTTGAATCACACTCAGCACAGTGCACTACTCTTTGGGTCACAAGTGACAAAAAGGAGGCCAGTTAGAGGGGCTGGAGAGATAGCTCAGCAGTTAAGAGCACTGACTGCTCTTACAGAAGACCCGGGTTCAATTCCCAGCACCCATGTGGCAGCTAGCAACTGTCTGTAACTCCAGTTCCAGGGGATCTGATGCCCCCTTCTGACTTTCACGGGCATTGCACAACATGGTTGCACTGACACACGTACAAGCAATACACTCATACACATGAAATTGAAAAAGAAATTTAAAAAGAAATTTTAAGATGCTGGGCGTGGTGGCGCATGCCTTTAATCCCAGCACTTGAGAGGCAGAGGCAGGCGGATCTCTGTGAGTTCGAGGCCAGCCTGGTCTATATAGTGAGTTCCAGGACAGCTGGGGCTACAGGGAGACCCTGTCTCAAAAAGCCAAAAGAAAGAAAAGGAGTAGTAGAATATGGTCAGAACTCCACTAATAAATGGCAGGCTACAGGGACAGGCAACTCCCATAAGAAAGAAAGTCAATCGATTGGAGAATGTGTCAATGTATCCTTCCAGTGAGCAAAGAAGCCTAAAGAGAACCACTCAGTATATTTTTAAGTGGGTATTCCCCAAGGGCAGTCCCAGAGACTCTACCCAAGAGGAGCTGACAGAACTGCCGACCTGGAAGCCACCAGTGTGCACTAAACAGCAAGCACTACAAATCCGTCAGAAATCAATGTTCCCAAACTGCTTCTAGCAATATTTAACATGACTTGTAGAAGTTGTTGTTTTGTTGTGTGTCAGGAGAGTCAGTATCAACTTTATTTTATACCTGTTAAAAAAATAAGTCGGAGGGGCTGGGGAGATAGCTTAGTCAATAAAGGGCTTTTGTGTAAGCATGAAGACCAGAGTTCAGGTCCTCAGCACCTATGTGAGAAAAACAGAGTGTGGAGGTGCACGCTTATGATCTGAGCATTGGACAGGTGAAGACAGGTGAGCCCCTGTGTCACTGGCCAGTCAGCCTAATTAGTGAGCCTTTAAGTTCTAGTTAGAGACCATGTTTCAAAAGAAAAGGTGGGCAGCTCCTGAGGCATTAACCCAAGGTTGACCTCTGGCCTCTACACATAGGTGCACACACACATACTCCAAAATAGGAATTTTTAAAACACTGAATGTAAAGGTAAGGCGATTGGAAACTAAGGGTGGAATGATTCCTATGGGCAGGCATGTCGCGGAAGCTGATCATAAAAAGTCAAGTCCCATGTGCCCATTAGATAGTGTGTTCACTTCAGTGAATGAACACAAGGAAACCGTTTAGGAAAAGAAAAAGTCAACTCAGCAGCAGACATCAGAAGACGACTAGAAACAGTCCTTTGACACTGCCCTCATTCCCTAACTGGCTTTTGGATGTGAGTGGGCCAATGCCTGTAGCTGTTAAATGTTCCCTTATAGGAACAAAATACACCACCCAGTGTCCCTCCCTCAATTGGCTCACCCATAGCCACTAAAAGTGATGAGTGATAAGGCCATGTAGAGACAGGTAAGTGACCAACAGTCTGACCCAGAAGAACAGAGACGAGAGTAGATCAGGACATAGGAACCTAGCTGGCTACATTCAGGTGGAAGAGGGTGACAGATTCCCACTTAAAGTGCTGAAACTCAAACCACCTTGAAAGAAGCATGTGGTGATGCAGATGTTGGGCCTGACCCCACACCCGACCTCTGAGTCTGCTACTCTTCTGCTCCTGCTAAGAACTTGGATTACATTCCCCAGATGAGCCTCTGCATGACTCATAATCACCTTGGCAACAAGAAGTGCTGTCAAGACCTCCTTGGACCAGAGTGATGGAGCACACTGGGAAGGGAAGCTTGGGGCAGTTGGGGCTACCTCCAGGGACATCTGGGTTCCTCTGCACCTGACTGGTGGGGAGGGTCTTTTCCTGACTTTTGTATCCCTCAAATATCATTTGATGGTGGGGTAACATATCTCTGAGCTTGTTTCCTCATCAAATGAGGCCCTCTTAAATATTACTCAAGGAGGAGGTAAAATACGTCTAAGCAAACCCAGATAAGGAAAGAATTAACTAAACCAAAAGTTGGCAAGCTCTTACCTAGACTGACCAAGACAAAAAGAGAGACAACTAAAAGAAAGATTACTAAAACCAGACATGGAAGTAAAGATATTATCATTGACCCTAAGGAAAGAGGAAGAAAGAGGGGCTGGAGAGATGGTTAAGAGCACTGACTGCTCTTGCAGAGGACCCAGGTTTGATTCCCAGCACCCACATGGCGGCTACGAACTGTACTTAACTCCAGTTCCAGGGGAATCCGAAGCTCTCTTCTGATGTCCATGGCATTGCCAGGACACAGGTACACTCACATACATGCAGACAATACACTCATACACATAAAATAAAAATAATAAAATATTTTTTTAAAAAAGAGGAAGAAAGAAAAAAATACAAGAGAATACTACAAATATTTATAGACCAACAAATCAGACAGCCCAGACAAAATGGACAAAATCCTAAGAACACATGAACTGCAAAATGTAATTCAAATACAGCTTAGTAAGATAAGGCTCAGTGGCAGAGAGCTTACTGAACATGTTCAAAGCCCTGGATTCCTACCATCCAGCAATACACCCACGCACGCACGCACACACGCATACACTCACAAAACAGAAAAACTGACCAGATCTATAACAAGAGATTGAATCATTCCTCAAAAACTTCCCTCAAAAGAGAACTCCAGGGGCCAACAAGATGTTCAGTGGGTAAGGGCAACTTGCCACCAAACTTGACAACATGAGCTTGATTCCCTGGACCCACATGGTTTAAGGAGAAAAAACACTGCTGCAAGTTGCCTTCTGACCTCCACATGTGCACATGGAATGTGTGTATGTATGTGAGTATGTGTACACACAAAATAAATAAATTTGAAATGTAATAAAAAGGAAGCTCCAGAACAACCACTAGCATATTCTAGCAAACATTTTAAAAGAAAAATACCAATTTTCAGAATAAAAATATAAAAGTAACATTTCCTAGTTCATTTTATGAGGTCAGCAACTATCTTGATTCCAAATCAGACAGATACAAGAAAACAACAGACCAACATGTCTTACAAATACTGGTAAAAATCCTCCTCAGACTATATCACATGAAATCCAGCAGCTTATTAAAGTGATTACATCATGACCAATACCAGTGAGACTGATCAGAGGAATGGGAGGTCAGTTCAATACATGCATTAACCCAATGTTTCAGTCCCTGCAGCATCACCTCTGACTGCAGAACGGGTGTGCATCTTTCCCCCACTCTTGAGGACAGAGGACAAAGAGAGTAGTGCTCACGTGGCCCTTTCTCCCAGGCTGGACCAGCACCCTCTTCTGTTCCCATCTCTGTTGATCCTCCCCCAATCTCTTTCTTTCATAAGATGTTTCCACCTCCATATTAACAGAATGAAGACCTATGTCAGCATCTCAATGGATACCAAAAACTCAGCTGACAAAATCCAACCTGTTCATGATATTAAAAAAAAAAAAAAATCTACAAACTAGGAATAGAAGGGAACTTTCTCAGCAAGATAAAAGGCCAACATGCAAAACTCACTCCTAACATTACATAGTGATGAAAGGCTGGCAACTTTTCCTAGAAGACCTGAAATAAGGCAGAATGCCTGCTGTTGCCACGTCTACTCACCAGTGTTAGAAGTCTTAATCAGAGCAACTAGGCAACAAAATGAAATTAAGAGCATTCACATTGGAAAGGAAGAAGTCAAATGATCTTTATTTGCAGATGACATAATTATATATGTAGAAAATTACATGGAAACCATATACACAAAAAATGCTGGTGCTAATAAATAAGTGTAGACATTGTAGGATGCAAGATGAAAACACGGTTTTATTTCTAGGCAGTGGCAATGAATAATCTGAAAATAAAATCAAAAAAGAAATTATGAGAGCATCAAGAAGAATAAAATATTTGATCGATCCTTAAATTTATATGAAATTGTAAAGGACTCCAAACAGACAAAGCGACCTTGAAAAAGAAAAATAAAGTTATATTGTATATTTCACAATTTCAAAGCCTACTACCAAGCATTAGTAACTGAAACAGCATGGTACTGCCACATGACTAGAAATACAAAGCAACAGAAGAGAATTAGACCCCAGAAATAAACCCATACATCAATGGTCAATTCATTTTTGACAAGGGCTGCAAGATCATCAATAGGGGAAGAATAATCATGTGTGTGTGTGTGTGTGTGTGTGTGTGTGTGTGTGTGTGTGTGTGTTATATGCTGTATGCACACAAGTGTATAAGTGTACATGCCTGTGCACATGCATGTAGAGTCCAGGGCAGAGTGTTGGGTGCCTTTCTGTACCACTGTCCATCCTACTGCTTTGAGGCAGTCTCTCTCACTGAACCTGAAACTTGCCATTTTACTAGGCT